TCCACGTATAAAGCTAAACGTAACAAATTTATGGGTTTCCGTGCTGCGCGACGCCAGTACCTGCGCGCCCACTGCACCTTTGGATGGAGATTGCACTTGGTCGCCTGAATGAATCAAAGATTTCAGACGCCTGAAAATTATTAACGCCCAATTTACGGAACTTGGGATTGATTTCTGTGGAAGCCCACATAGCACGGAACAAAACATATTGGGCCGTTCAAGACTAGCACAAAACTAGGGCCAGGCTTTTTGCGCGTCACAAAAGTCTCTTTTTTTTTTTTTTTTGACAACTAACAACTTTATTAAACTTAGCAGCAACGTGCTGCTAGAATTGTTACATCTTTCAAATTTACATCGTGTAGAGCTTGTAACCAAAGGCACTCTGGTACATGTCGGTCATTGGAGCATGAGAAATCTAACATTTGGACATGTCCCGGGTGATGTAAAGCCTGCCGAGCAAGTAAATTAGCAGTCATATTTAACCTGCGCTGGACCTTGAAAATTTTTGAAGTCGTGGCTGCAGTTTTGTTGATGAAGAGCTGAGTGAAAGGCTTGATTTGCCAGTCAGGTGGACTGGTGCAATCCTGCTTGCTAATGAAGTGAACAAGTTGTTCACTGTCTGACAATAAGCTGATTCCTGTGAGGTTGAGTTTGTCGACGATGACCGCTGCCAGTGCAAGGCTTGCTGCCTCCGCCATTAGAACTGAAGTGCAGGCAGATAGTGTAGCCCTGATGTATAACGCCTTAGCGGGCTGATCCTGCACATTCAAGAGGAAAACACCAAGTCCAGCAACTCTTGGTAGCTGGTTTGGCTGATCCGGAGATGTCGAAGCATCTACATAGCATCTGCATCCTTGAAGTAGAGCAGGTAAAGGAGCATGGTAGTTCCGGTTGCTTGAGTCTTGCTGGACTAAATTCCTTGACGGCGTCGTCGCTCCTGTGTAAGAAGTTGTCATACCTTTGCGAGGCTGGGAATGGGCAGCATGTTGATGCGGTTGCTGGCCCCTGTCGTTGATGCCTTCATCTGCAGAATTTGACTGGATTGAAGATGTGAGAAAGGCCGCCACTGCATGGTGTACCTGCATTGGATTCCAAATTTTTCTTTGGAATCTATGGTCATTTCTTGCCTTCCAAATGTACCACATAGCTAGTAGGATTTTGATAAATAAATTTTGTGGAAGATTGGTTGGAAGGACAGATTGTAGTATGAGTTGAACACCATCTTGCTCTTGTGGGAGGTCATCTGTTCTCAGGGCTGGGTTAGACGAAAACCAAACTGCCCTTGGTAAGTGACAGTGGAAGAATAGATGGGCATCATCTTCCACTTGTCCACAGACAGTGCAGAGGGGGTCTATATGAACCGAGTACCTGGCTGCTCTTTCTGCCGTCGCTAGCGCCCGCCTGATTAACCTCCAGGTGAAGGCCTTGATGAGTGGTGGGAGGTCCTTAGCTTTCCACGCTCTGTGCAAAATTTGGTTAGCCTGTGGAAGAAGACTTCTGGAGCCCTGAGGAGGAAGACTGATTATGTTTTGGGAAGACAGATGATTGTAAATGCTTTTAGTAGTACAGACTCCGTTTCTGGCCGGCTTCCACCGAAGGACATCCCGATTGTGTTGAGGGACCGGACGCAATGCTTCGATTTCCTGTACTGCATGAGCATCAAAAGTATTGGTTAGTAGATCAATGTCCCAGGTTTGTGTGTCTTGAATCCACAAGTCCGAAATAAGAGAAGGCAAAGGGACTGTGGTGACTGGAAGCCGAAGATGGTCATGAATGGTTTTCCACATAGGACCAAGGTTTTCATTTTCGGAAATTAAAATTTATCGGGAGTCACAGATAAAGAGGATAAACAGGATATATTGGAAATATTGGACCAAATTCAAATAAAATTCGATTTGAATTTAAGTAAATTTAAATAAATTTAAACAAAATTTGTACGAAAAAGATAGATATTTTTTTTATCGGCACCTACGGATAAAAAGGATATATTGAAAATATCAGGAGATTTCGGCCGATAAAGGAAACCATGCATAGGACACCATGGTGTGGACCAAATGGACGAGTTCCCAGCATGGATCTGATAGGTTACATTGTCATGCAATTCCTGTTTTACCTGCAAGACAGAAGACCAAAAAATGGATCTAGGTCCACTGTTATTAGCAGTCCAAAAGGATGAGCTGTGAAAGTATTTAGCTTTAAGGACTGCAGTAAGGAAGGGATTTTTGTTGTTAGCTACATCATAGGCAGCATGAATAATGAGGCTTTTGTTTACAGTGTGTAAATCTCCAATGCCCAGACCTCCATTTTCCTTCGGTTGGCAGATGTCATCCCAAGATTTGTAAGCAATAGGGTTAGTAGGGTTGTCCTCCTGAACTCCTGCCCACCAAAATCTCCTAATAATAGAAGTAATTTTTTCAACAAAACATTTAGAAAATAGAACAGTGGACATGTAGTAGACAGGGATTGAGGAAAGGACAGATTGGATATATGTAAGCCGACCTGCATGGTTTAATTTATTTGCTTTGACAGTAGTAAGCTTGGCTAAGAATTTGTTGTAAATGAATTCATAGGCCTTGTTTCTATCCTTGTGGTTGAAAATAATTGGGTGACCAAGATGCAAAGTGTTGGGAAGAAGGTCAGGGACAGGGAAAATGTCCCTGATTTGGTCTTTGGTAAGAGTGTCCACATTACAACTGAAATGGATAGAAGATTTAAGCAAGTTGGGAGTCTGGCCAGAGTGAAGGCAGAAGTCATTCAGAATGTTTCTAAGGCAGGTGGCCTCTTGGATGGTTGCTGTCCCACAAAGAATAAGGTCGTCTGCAAAGAGTAGAGAGTGGATAGGAGGGCAATCAGGACCCAGAGAGATCCCAGTAAGGTTAGAATTATGCGAAGCCTGTTGCAAACGAATTGAAAGTTCATTTATGGCTATGGCAAAGAGATAAGGAGATAGAGGACAACCTTGTCGTATACCTTTTTTGGGGGAAAAATAACCCGTGGGTTCTCCATTGACCAAAACAGCAAGCGACGAGGTGGAGTAACAAGCTTGGAGGAGTTTGATGAAATTGTGGTGAAGTCCAAGACGTTGAAGAGCTTCAGAAATAAAATTCCACTGTAATCTGTCAAATGCCTTGGCTAAATCGAGCTTGAGTATAAAACCTCGGTGGTTCCAAGTCTTTAGGCTGAATGAGTGGATGATCTCTTGTGTGACAATAATATTAGCTGAAATGTGCCTGTTCTTAATAAAAGCAGCTTGAGCATGGTGAATATAATTTGGTAAGTGAGGTTTTAACCTGTCAGCGAGCGTTTTAGCAATAAGTTTGTAAATAACATTGCATAGACTAATTGGTCTGAAATCTTGAGGTACTATAGGTTGCAGTTTCTTTGGAATTAGAGTAATAAAAGTCTTGTTCAGCTCCGGATTTAGAAACGCAGTCTTGTAGAAATCACTTACTAGGTGGTGTACATCTGATGAGATCCATTGCCAGGCAGATTTGTAGAATGCTGCATTGAGTCCGTCCGGTCCTGGTGAGGCGTTATTGCGCATACTTTTGATGATGGCATGAAGCTCCTGAACATTTGGAACTGAGTTGGTGAACCTGCTATGGTCTTGCTGAATATCAAGTTGATTTCGCTGAGCGCTTCCTTGTGGGTGCCACCTGATAGCCTCGTTGTTCATCTGTTCGTTAGGCTGACTTGAATATGAAGGGACAGTAACCTGCATAGAAGCCTGCTGCATAGAATTAGGGTGAGTATTATTAACATTATTATTTAAGGAATTGTCATGGTTGTCATCCGATCCAAATATGCCCTGAAAGTAGTTAAGAAGGGTGGCTGCTAGCTGTTCAGGGGTGGTCGAATCAGTGCCATCTGGGTTCTGAAGATAGTTGATGGTGTTCTTCCTATGCCTCTTAATAATGGATTGGTGAAAGAAGGCAGTGTTACGGTCACCAAGCTTGGCCCAACTTTTTTTGGCTCTTTGGAGGTGAAATTCTTCATCTTTGGCTAGGATTTGATGGTGCTGGTGGGTGAGGTGGGCTTGCAGCTCGAAGTCTTGCTGTTGGGGTGGTTTAGATTGTTGTTGGAGTAGCTGGTTTTCAATGGCCTCAAGCTGATCAGTGATTTTGGGTTTGGCTTTACGCCACTTGTGGAGATCACTTGCTAAGTAGCTGGTTTTTTGGGAAAAGGATCGATGGCCTGATTTTCTCCAACTTTGTTGTACCACAGAGTTGTAATCCTGTTCCATAAGCCACCAATTTTCAAACCGAAAAACTTTGTTAGCATGATGACGAGAATAATTTATAATAGTGAGAATCGGAGCATGATCGCTACGCATCATCGGAAGATGATAAACCACAGTTTGTGTATAAGCCATGCACCATTCTGCATTTGCCAAACACCGATCAAGACACTGGAAAGTCGGAGTTGTGCTGAAGCGCTTATTTGTCCAAGTATAAGCCGGGCCACTGTACCCCAAGTCAAGAAAGCCACACTGTTTCACATGATCACAAAACTGATTAATACGTCTAAGATTTGGTCTACATGGACCAGATTTCTCATTAACATGCATAAGTTCATTCATATCGCCCATACAAAGGATTGGCAGGTTGTTATGGTTAACAACAAAATTAAGCACACGCGTCCATATGGCAGTGGTGTTTTGGTGATGTGGATCACCATATATACAGAGCAGGCCAAACATTTGTGAATTAATATTACTAGTGCACAAGCCAAACATATAGTGATGTGAATGATCTACTACACTAATGGTAACATCCTGAGTCCAGAACAACCAAAGCCCCCCGGATGGCCTTGTGCAGGGACTACGAAAGCATCAGCGGCATTAAAGCGGTTAACAATAGAAGTGCGAGAAATTGAAGAGTTACGAGTTTCCGAGATAAAGCAAACTTGGGATTTTGTGGATGCTAGGAGGCGGGCGAGGTGGCGCATTTTAGAACTGCGCAGGGATCCACCCGATCCCCGGCAGTTCCATGCCAGTAGTGTCATGGTTCACCCAGCGCCCTTGAGGCTGGCGCCCTAGCCTGTCCCAAAGCAGAGGAATGTTGTTGAAGACGAAATTGGTGAGCCCGAAAGTGGAGGTTCTGGAGCGTGACGCCCAACAGTAGGTCCCTGGCGTTCACAAAGGGGATGTTGATGCTGCCGTTGACGAGGTTACCGCTGTTCTGGATGACAACGGAAGACGTATTGCCGAGGCCCGCGACGTAGGGCACATTGTTGCTGTTGATGAGGTTGCTGGCTCTCTGCGGCAGCGGCATGGCAGTCGGGAGGATGTTGATGTTGGGGTGCCTGAACGGGAGCAGCCCGTTGACCTCCGCGCTCGCCACCATGCCGGACGTGATGCGACCCGACAGCTGCGAGCCCATGCCCGCGCCGGCAGCTTCGGCTGGGCCGGATTCAGAGAGTCCCACCGTCGAAGAAGACGAGCGAGACCAAATTGGGATGGGGATTGAGTAGATCGGAGGTGGGATTGAAGAGATTGATATAGATCAGGTGGGGAATAGGATTAGGATTGGAGATTTGGGGGGATTGGGGATTAAGGGGAGAGAGGAACACGGAAGAACTTGCTTGACAGCTTACAGCCTGTTCGGGAGGCCGTATCGTATCGTGGATTATTTACTGCTGGCTGGTTTGGTGTGAGAGAAAAACACTGTTCCCGGCTGAAAATTTACGATCGTTTACGAGCAAGCGAACAGGCTTACCACGACAGAAGAACGGGGGCACTTGAGCAAGGGATGAATCAGATGGATGGGGAGGAATCGACGAGAGGCAGGAACGAGCTCAGAGGTTAGGGGACTTCAGTTTGGAGGAGAAGATTGGGGGAAGGGGGATGTCGCCATTGCGGCACTCTTCGCCATTACGGCACTCTCTCCCATTACAGCACTTTCTCGCGAGAGACCTCCTTTACTCCTAGCCGGGCAACGGCGGCGGAGGCGTGTCACAAAAGTTGGGCTGTGCTTAGACCAGCCCAGCATAAACTGGCCCAAAAAAAGTTTCTTAAAGCTTCCTGAACTATTGCCATGTTATTATTTTTCTACTCAAACTTCAAAGCCGGACATATTCCCTGTTAACTCTTAAAACTATTTAAATTCCTTCCCAAATCTGGGCAGAATTGGTTTTTTATATTTTAGTTTAAAATCGGTTAAATACGTAGGTTTTTTAAACCACAAATATGTATGTATGCTTGCAAAAATTCTGAGAAAACACTACAAGATAGATTGGGACTTCATAAAACCAAATAAAATATTTTGATATCACAAAAGTATCTTTGAAATCATCCAAAATTAGATTTATCTATAGTAAAATGGAAAAGATATCCAAAAAAACTTGAAAATTTTCCAAAACATTTAGACGTTGTCCAAACATGTGTTCTCAAACATTCCACAATGAAAGCATGGGATGCAACTAACATATATGCATTTAACATTATTTTTATGTTGCATTTGTTGTGGAAAGCTTTTAAAACACATTTTGACTTCATTTTGAATTTTTCAGATTTTTCTATTTTTTTCTAGAGCTAAATCAAATTTTAGAATCATCTGGGGATATTTTCATGATATCTAAATATTTAATTTGGGATTTTTAATGTCCCAATCTCTAGGATTTTTTATTTTTTTATAAGTTTAGAGACATTGTTCATGGTTTAAAAATCTCATAAGTCATTTATCAGATTTGTTAACTGAAGAAAGATGAAAACAACTTGAAAACCAATCTAACCGACCCGGAGAGATAATTTAAATGATTTTTTTACTACAAAGATCAGAATAGATTTTTTACTAGCCAGCAACTTCATGCATCCCAGATTTAATTGTAAGAGGCTATAACAGTCCAATAATAACATTTAACCAGCTTTGCATATCTATGGACACGGACTAGCCCATAAAAGAAGACCACCGAAAGTGCTTTCCTTACTACTCGCAGTCCGAGTCTAAACTCCCCTAGCTCATTTGCTTGTTGCTTCTTCCTCTGCTTGAAAAAGACTACCCACAAAATACAACTAGCCGGACCACCACGAGTTTTGGGTTACAAACAAAGCTGGGTAGTTAGGCTGAATGGCTGTAGCTCCTCGTGTGGAGCAGTTTCTCTAGTGGATATAGAGCAATTTTGGAAAAACATTTAGCAAAAATTAAACATGTTACCCAATTGACCCCATAATTCAATGTGTTGTTTTTGGTAAGCATGTTACCCAATTGCAAAAGCTCAACATATTTACGAACTTTTTGCTCAAGGGGTGTAAACGGCATTCTAGAGACAAGACGGAACCTAAGGCTAGGGAAAATAAGACCGACATCGCTACGTTATGGTAAAATGGATCGAGCATGTCATCAGCGATTGCGCCACCCAGCACCGACAGGGCCATAGAATGTCCCGGGAGGCCGGCAAGCGGCACTGGATCAGGTCGTGCTGCCGGTCACAGCGCTTGGGCTTGCCCTTGCATACCTCACGAGAGAGATGAAAGAGAAAGCTTGGAGGTTAAAGAGAGGAAGAGGTGAAGACAAGGAATAAGAAGAAAAGATTGATCTTTTTTTTTTATCAAACAAAAGATTGATCTAATGACATATATATGGGGTCCCTTGTATCAGGGGAGGTAAAAAGGATGCATGGGAATTTTCTTGAGCTGTTGCAGCACTCCTCTGGTATCCTGATGAAAAAGGGAAAAAAAAAGAGGAATTAGCTGGGGGAGAGAGTCTAGAAGTCTATACAGGTTCGAACATGGGTACACCGCGTTGCACGCGGAATGCCAATGCCACAGTACTCTCCAAACACTCGAAGTCGAATAAAAATCCACGTCAGGAACAGGAATCATATCTTGGACATGCCGGCCAACTTTTATTCTACGTCCTATCTCTCAACTTTTGCTCACTAAATTCGACATCAGGGCATCTACGTTGTACCCCATCCACATCCATCTCTGGCTTTTGTAACTCTTAAGCTAATCTTTTCATCAAAAAACTCTTAAGCTAATCCAGCGAGCTAGCTGTCGCCACAAGCTAGGCATATGTCCTTGCACGAAAAAGGAACACTGCATTCCATCCATATAACTGATACAATACGTCTGCTTGCGTGGCGGCGCGTGCGTGTATATATACTTGTGTTCTTTACCCTTCTTCTCCCATACTAGAGACCCAAGATATGGTTTTGCAGTTCTGAACCTAGTACCTGGGTGCAGTGACGTCGTCTCGATCCCTCCATCTCCAAAGCAAGCTAAGCCTGCGGCCATGGTAATCACGCTGCAACACCAATAACATCAATTTACTTTTGTTGTCTACCAAGAACATCGATGCATATAGATATATCTGTATATACATTTTAATTATTGTAGGATCTAGCAGAGAAGTCCCAGCGAGCAACCTTCTTGTTCGTCAAGGAGGAGGAGGAGGAGGAGGAGGAGGACGATGAGGAAGAGAAGCAGCAGAAACAACAACAGCAGCAGCAGCACAAGGAGGGAGAGAAGCAATCCAAAGGCAAGGACAAGAACCCAAAGGCCCCAACAACGACGACGCATCCGAAACAGGCAGCCACTCGTTCCATTTCCGGCAGTGGGGAAGAAAGGAGCAGGTGGTGTACCATACTGTAGTGCAGCCGCCAGACACCTGTATCTGTATGTGGCACTATATATAATCGTCAAGTAATATTACTGTGCTTTGTACCTTGCTTGGTCCAGTTGATCCATGCATCATACCCCTGATCAGGATTTGACTGAGATGCATGTTGGATCAGATCGATTGAACCGGGGGCCTCTTCTATGAAGACCCTGGTTATGCCGCGCACAGGGTCGTATCGTACGTGCTGCCCGCTGACTCTCAATCATCGCTGCCTCCGCCACCGCCAAGGCGTGCCCACTAGACTCATCGAGACAAGTTGTCGTCTGACCTCTGTGGTGGCTCACCCTCCAATCCATGTCGATCGATCCGTTGGGTGGGCAGTCCGACGGTGGCTAGACGGAGATCAAGAGTCATCAGCGTTGGCGTCCGGGGCGGCAGTGCTGCTCGACCTTGTGGTTGTGAGGTTCTGCTTCAACTGCCTCGTGCCCAACCATGTGTGTCAAGTGCAACACCTTTTGCTAGGGCTCCCTTCGGTCACCGTCGTTAAGTAGTAGAAGTCCACCTATTTCGGATTCTTTCTCGCAGGGAAAGATGTTTGTTTTCGGTATGGGAGAAGAGGAGCAAAGTGGCTGGTGAAGAGGGCGCTTCATCGGCGCTTCATTTGGTCCCAAGCGTGCTCCATTGCCCTCTTCACCAGCCACTTTGCTCCTCTTCTCCCATACCGAAAACAAACATCTTTCCCTGCGAGAAAGAATCCGAAATAGGTGGACTTCTACTACTTAACGACGGTAACCAAAGGGAGCCCTAGCAAAAGGTGTTGCACTTGACACACATGGTTGGGCACGAGGCAGCTGAAGCAGAGCCTCACAACCACAAGGTCGAGCAAACCGCCGATCCGACGAAGACTTAGTGCCCCGGAGGGTCCCAAGCAACTGAGAGCGGATAAATGGCTTTTGTATTCTGATATGAATTGGACCGTATGGCCCCACCGAAAAGGGATATTCTTGCTATCTATGATAGATTCAGGGTATTATGGTCCTCATGCTGTAAAAAAAGACCCTATAATTGTATCTTGAGGCAAACAAAACAAAGCAGGACCTCAATATATCTGAAATGAATGAGCCCTTCACTACTGTTCCTATCTTGTATTTTGATGTTGTGAGTTTGACTACCCACTGTCTAAGACTTCGTTCGAGGACAACATTTGGCGCCCACCCGTGATTGTCGCTCAAACTATCCAATGGCTCCTAGGAAGCGCAACACAAGATACCACTGGAAGGTCCGAAATCGTAGGTACCTCCTCATAGGAGATGGATTGAGATTATGGTGTCATAACACTAGCAATCCTCTCTACCAGACGAGCACATATTCGCATCTCTTCCCAACGGGTCAGATTTGGCTCGAACGCAATGTGGCCTAGGCTCTAGTTATGCTAACACGGTATCTTCCCCCTGATTGCCCAAATCCTCAAAGGGATTGATCGTAATCTGCATCGCCATCCTTGTTCATTCCATTCCAGGCTCCACCCACTCTGAGCTCTGCAACCCACCTGAGCCTAGCGATCCCCTCCCACAACAGATGCGCGAAAAACTCGACGAGAAAGCAGTTGATTAAGGTCACTGATTTGAGATCTTTAGGTCAAACAATGTGCCGCCGACTCATGAATCCTTTCTCCTACTTTCTGTTTCTGGAAAAGCCTTGTCCTCACCATAGCCTGTCATACTCATTGTCAGCTTTGTTGTTGCCCTTCACTGCCTTTCAGCTATTTTTGCAAAAAGTTTCCTTCATATTAAAGTGTCAAAAATACTAGACTTGATCAACATTGTCGGAAATGGTGATATCTTACTATGGTGATTGCAAATGCTCCGAAGTTGTCGAGAATGGCATATATCCACGTAAGAAACTTGAAGGCTCAGGCACAAGCAGATCCATATATGGCTAATCTGGATATTGATGGATCTTATAATGTGGTAAAAAATATGGCAAAATAAAACAGTAAATTCAAGTAAAAACAGTGAGAATAATTATGAACTAAATAAAGCCTCGATGTTACCTCCAATCCTTAGCTTGCAAGAGTGCCCGCACCCAAGAGCTGGAGAGACGGTTGGGCTCGCGCGCTAGCTAGCAGTGAAAAAACCAAGAGCTTGTGAATGAGCCGAAGAGCAGCTCTGCTCACCACAGCGCACTTGTATTTAAGGCTAGATCTACAAGCATGCATTGCGCGGTCGTGAACATACAGTGCACACATGAAGAGAAGGTACGAAAAAGACAAAAATGCCAAAATTATTTCAAGTGGTTTACCTAAGAAAACCACCATGAAAAGGTCTTCATTTTCACAAGCGGTTTCCTTATATATATGGACCACTCTAGAAAATGATCGTTTCACAAGTGGTTTCTTATTATGCAAAACAGCTAGTGTACGTAAATGTCATGATTTACACTAGTGGGGCACTTAATGAAGTCAACCACTTGCGAAAATCAATTTTTAACCCTGCTAGTGGTTCTACTTATGGAAGTAGATATACAATTGTAATTCCATTTAAAATCTAAAAGTTTATCTGTACGCATTTGCACGTGAAATTTGTGTTGCGTAACATAAATATGGCTAATATAATTACGGCCTGCACAGGAAATGGTGGTCGGCTGCTTGCATTGTGTGCCATGGATCGGAGTATATATGCTCAAGAGAAAAGCAACTGGGTGGCTTACAGCCAACCACAACGAATGACTTTGCTTTCGTTGCTGGCAAACGGAGCCGCAGTACGCGCTTCTCGCTTTTTCTAACGCGGCATACTGGTGCATCTTTTCTCCTTCCTTCCCTAATTAATAATTATATACGTTGATGTCGACGGAGGGAGATGCAAGAAAACTCCCTCCCTCCTAGCATTTAAATTTTGTCACATAAAAATTCAGTCCTCCAAAGAATATAATTTTAGCATTTAAAATTTGTGGTGCATGCTAGGCTACCATTAGCTATCTAAACTAACAAACCAAAATCAAACTCATAGGAATACGTAGAGAGTAGGGGGCATATGTGTGTTATTTTTACTATTCACTAATTTGTTCTAATAAAAATCTAAAATTGTTTTTTTACGTAACTTGATATCATCTGTCGATTGTACTTAGTCATATGCAACTCTTTATTATTGTAGTAGGACGGTGCAATTTTTCAATTTTGATGAATAATCTAATAATGAACCTATATTGCTTAGTTCTTCTTGTTATTCCTGTTCTCTTCTCCTTCTTCACATGCACCCTAATGTTGTTGTGATACAAATAAAAGCATATTATGGGACTAATTGCGTGGCACACACATGAAGGTCGATGCAGAGGAATAATCATCCCTGAAAAGCAAAGGCACGTCACTGTCGGTTCAGTTACTCAAATTGCCATGGTGATTGGCCGATGTTAGTTTGTGGCAATAATAATAAATTAAAAGTTGCACCGGCAAATTCTGCTCCTATAAATAATGTGTGGCGGCGGAGGTTTACGGCCCACAGTTGAGCAGGAAAATGGCTGGCGCGCGTCGAGTTCAGGGGCGCCGTCTGTTTGCACATCAAGGAATATGTGCTCTCAATGTGAAAGTGAGACTCTTTACAGCCAAATGCAAACGCAACGAATATAACACTTTGCTTTCTTTGCTGGCAAATGGGACGGCAGCATGAAGAAGCAAGATGCATGTACTACCACAAACTCCTTCCTCCAGTCCATTCCCTATATATAGGTAATGTAACGCGGTAGTACTTTATCAATTGATTCATTCATCGCAACGATAGAGAGCGCCAGTGTCCGGCGCTACACAAAGCAATTAGTCCATATACAACGCAGCTCAATCCATCAAGTTTCTAGATCATGGTAAGTACTATAATTCAGATTTGCATATAGTTTATATATTTACACATATACATATCCTCCGATTCATGCATGGGCATCGATGAATTCTAGCTAATTGGCGCATATCTATCTGTCTTTTTTTTTTGGCAGGACCTGATGGAGAAGTCACAACGAGCTTATTTCTTGTTCGAGGGCGATCATGATCATGAGGAGGCCCCTCTTTCTGGCCGCCACGCCGAGGAAGCCAACAAGGCCACCTGCTGCGCCAACTGCGGACTTGCACCGCCACCTAGGGACAGTAGTCGTCGGTCGCCGACACAAGAGGCAAAGCCGCGGCGGACATCATCTCTGGCCTCTTCATTCAGCAAGCTATGTAGCTAATTAATTAAGCTCCTAGGCATCATCCTGTCAAATTGACCAGAGGAATGAATTATTGTCGAATAATTATGTTGATGATGATGTCGATCCATTATTTAAGGCTCAAAGGAATAGGGAAAATATGCCATAACTTTTTTTTAGATTAAAATATGCTATATATCTGGTTGTTACTCAGATGCATTTCTTTCTTTCTTTATTTATTTATTCATGGACATAACAGGGGGTGTAATTTTTCATTGCGAGGAACAATGTAATAGATGATACTTCTTCCGTTCTTCGTCATGCTCTTCACACACAGCCCAACCATGTGATGCAGAAGCCAATACGGGAATAATATCTAGTAGTTGCAAGGCAATGAAGATCGATTCGATTCGAAAGTGATATGTCGGTAGCCTCATTGTAACACACACCACAAAATTGTGCCCTTTTTATAGCATGCAAAAAGCCTAAAGTTTTAAAACTTCTCCATACATTGAGTTTCAGATGTGCGATTCTGATAGAACTTGACATTTAGTCTTAGTAAACATAACCCAAATTAAATGGAATTAGGAGGAAGTAAGTTAATTTTAGTTAACAAACATGAAAATGTTATGTAGAATAATCACATTGCATGTCAATTATTTGGTCTATCGGATTTTTGGTGGGGTTGAATTAGAATTGCTTTAACCTATCTATACTATAAAAGAGTGACTTTATAGTAAAATAGAGTCTTGTCTTATACCAACTTCTCCTTTCACTAGATGTGTTTAAAATCCAATCTATTGCTTCTAACACTACGCCAGAACACACAATCACTATTGCACCATCACTGCCAGTTGTGCTGGAGCCATCAATGATTAATTATCATTGCCAGGTCATAAGCCTAGGATGCAGATAAAACGGCAGTGGCATTTTCATATCATTACTGGTTTTGTTACTGACCCATCAGTATTCTTTCCGACAATTGAATCTACCTATAAGTCCTAATATATTGATTCTCCACTGTTAATCGTACATACCACCATTGCTTCCGATTATAAAACCTGTGTCTGGATGCCTCCATGGGATAGAGGAGAGACTAGCTTAGCTAGGTCCCCATCATATATTGCGCCATCACGGGCTCCAAATCCTTATGCACCTTGTTTGCCTCTATCCACCCCCTCCGGCATGCTCTTGCAACTCTGAAACCCCCACTACTACACAAAAGATTATGCGCAGCGTTGCATTTTTGCACTCCGTGGCGGTCACCTATTTTCGCCCGCTGCGGTAAATGCCACGATTTACCGCGGCGGACATTTTTTATTTACCGTAGCGGGCGTCTTAAGATGCCCGCCATGGAAAATATGTATTTTCCATGGCGGACGTGTTAAGACGCCGGCCACGGTAAATCGATTTTCCGTGGCGGGCGTCCTATAATGCCCGCCACGGTAAATAGCCGAGGCCCAACAGGCCCAGGGCGAGGCCCAATAACTGGTCTCCATATAAAATGAGCACTTTAGGAGTTTAGGGTTTCAGTTCACTCACTCCTCTCCACCGATAGGGCCGCAGTCACTCCTCTCCTGTCACGAGCCTCTCTCCTCCCATCACCATCTCCTTCCAGTGCATATCCACCAGCACGGCGCTCTCCCTCCCTCTCTTCTCTCCCACCGATCCCTCCCTCTCCCTCCTCTCTCTCTTCCGATCCTCTAGCACGGGGTGTGGAGCGTTGAGCGCGGTGGCTCGTGGGACGGCAACGACGAGCCCGTCCTGAGGCGGATCTGGCCGGTGGCGGCGCGCGGTGACCGGATCCGGCCGGTGACGGCGTCCCGAGGCGGATCCGGTCGGTGGCGGCGCGCGGTGGCCGGATCCGGCGGGCGAGGACGGTTTGGCGCGGCGGCCTCCCTCCACCACGGCGGGATCTCCACCACGGCCACGACGCCGGGATCCACCACGGACACGACGCCAGGACCTCCACCACGGCAGGCGAGGACACGTTGGCGCGGCGGCCTCCCTCCACCACGGTGGGATCTCCACCACGGCCACGACGCCGGGATCCACCACGGCCACGACGCTGGGACCTCCACCACCGCGGGCGAGGACGTGTCGGCGCGGCGACCTCCCTCCACCACGGCGCGGCAGGATCTGCAAGGAGGCACGGGGATCCATGAGGAGGCGCCGGCGTGGTCCCCTGTGAGCGACTGGTGAGGTGGTGGCGGCCCTGCAGTGGCGTCGGCGTGTCTAGCCTGCTTCTCCAGAGACGCTGGGGCCCGGCCGGCTGCTCCTCTTCTCCCTCCCCGAGCGGCACGGATCTGCAGCCGTGGGAAGCCCGGATCCGTCGCCGGTGGGCTCGCCAGTGGGCTCGAGAACGGGCTAGCCGGCGGGCTCCTGTTTTTTTTTTGTTTTTTTAAATGATTAACCGCAGCGGGTATCCTAACGTGCCCGCCGTGGTAAAAGTATATTTACCACGGCGGGCACGTTACACCGCCCGCCGCGGTAAATCGGTTAACCGCGGCGGGCAAGGCCGCCTGGCGCGGTTAAGCCATGATTTACCGTGCCCTCTAGACCGCGGCGGACGGCTTTGCCCGCCGCGGAAAACCAAAAATGCCCGCCTTCAGTAAAGTTTGTGTAGTAGTGCCCGCTCTTGTGCTAGAAGAATGTTCCTGAGATGGTTATATTGCAATGCGCTTGTAGACTTTGATTGCAACAATGACTTAGTTGGTAAAAGGTTGTATGTTTGTAGTCTTTGTACTGTGTTTATAGACTTCGAATAATTCATCACTTTCTATAGTTTAAATTAATTTTTGCATGCCTAGCGTCACTACTGCTGTTTTAAACTTGGATGTGAGAACATTTAGAGTCTGGATACAATGTACACAATCCCAATTAGCACTAAGAAAACAAGAACTAGAGTGCACTAAAAATAGAAAAAGGATTTCTACTCCAATTCTAACTAAAGAGACAAATTCTTCATCCATGGCCTTCTTCTAATTCACCTCTCCATGCATAGGTGCACTGTCAACCTCCTGATCGGCCAAAGTTTTTAGCATCTCAACATATTCTTGCTCATAGTACTAGCATGAGCATCCACTACCATCGCACTCAAAGAGCACCAAAACATGAAGTTGGAATCAGAATTATCACAAAGAAATGGCCATAAATAATAGAAAACGAGGCAAACAAGACGTAACCTTGTGATCTAGACACTTGTAGAAGATGCAGCCATAATTGGGATCTTCCTTCTTCACCCTTACTTCCAACGCAGTGTGTTGCTTCATCTATTGCATGTAATGAGAGCTAGGGAGCTTTGGTCTGAGTCCTAAGCATCATGTGAGGTTGGGGACCCAGACGGTTATGCCATCTATACAGCAAGGACTGGCTTTGAACTGGTTGCAACAATGGCGACAAGGACAGGAGATTGGTGATGAATGGGCTGGGAACTGGTCAAACCCTGTACACATCTAGCAAAATAAAGGCTTGGACCGGAATCACTACTGGTTCAAAACATCACCAAATAGTGATCCTAGAGCATCACTGCTTGTTGAGTCATTGACCTAGCAGTGATACTAGAACATCACTACTAGGTGAAGTTTTAAACCGGCAGTGATAGCGGAGCATCATTGCCGGGTGAAGCTTTGACAGGGCAGTGAAAGACATTTATCAAATTGTCTTTTCAATTGAAGATACATTTCATCACAATTACACGGTTTGGGAAATGACTCTAGCTACAATTACATAGAGACAATATAGAATGTCTCTGCATGACTAAAATAGTGTATGTATGCAAGGAAAGCTAATGTAGGAGCCTTCTAGTACCACCACTTGGGATTGAAACATGGTCGTCATCACCGGCTTAAGGGCTAGCTAGCTTATGTTGTAGTAGAATCTCCATATGAATATGTTTCTTTGTAATACTAAAGATGTCACATTATCTTGTACTACTACAAGATTGGAGTAAATTATCACATATTTTTATAGTATATTAAAACAAAACGGGCACTACTTGTAACAACTTTAATAACATATAGTTTTGTGTTTCTATGAAATTTCTTTGTAACACATTGATGAATGTTGAATGTGTTGCACGAGTGTGTTGTAATATGTATGTTTTGTTGTAATACTGGGTGGATCAGTGCCCGGTTGGTGGTCGGATGGCCATAAGAGCCTGCATGACTGTGGACAATGCAACCATGGCAGAAATGATGAGTAGAAGTATTTTGACTGGGCTGTTGATGTAATTCTTCACCTCTGCCAAATCACGGTACACATGCAACACTCTACATCTCCTCAGATCTTTCAGCACCTTGTCAATGGGAGTCGATCCGCTGCGCCGGTTCCACACACACAAGTTCTTGAAGTAATTGATGACCTGCCATGAACATATAGAAGAGTAAAATTCAGTTGCCAAACACTTCCTATATTTATCCAAAGTCCAAGTACTTCCTTCTTGATCCAAAAGTGCACTTTTTTTTTTGAAATATGGAGTATTCAAAATTTGTACCATAGATAATACTACGAGCAATATCTAGACCAGGCCCATGTAGTTAAACGCCAACTAAACCGTGCAATGCACACACACTTATTGTCATTTAATGAAATAATATATCAGCAAAAATGGTGACATAACAAGGAAATTATGAGGGGAGACTAGAGACGAGTTTCATCTAGATGCATGAATCCCCGCGCATCTTATTTCTAGCGCATTGAAAATCATGTGAAACTCCACTGAAAGCATTTCATTTCATCCAAGCCAAGTGAAACTCAGAGTTTAAATGCATCGCATTGATGGTGAAAAAGTTGGGTGAGGACCATCCTACCAGGACGTGATACGGACCGAGCGAGGAAAACATTGAAATGAAATTGCAGGCTGACCTTTTTATCACTTCCAAAGTTGTTGTGCAGTATGCGCAAATCCTGCAGCAGGGTGATGTCCTCCCGCGTGCTGACGAGGTTATACATGAGGAAGGCGTACGTGGTGTAGTGGTCGCTGCCGTCGACGCCCACCTGCTGCTCGAACGCGATGAGGTTCTGCAGCAGCGGCGCCGTGGTCTGCTCCACGTACAGCGTCGGGATCTCGAGCCTCACGCGGTCCTCCATGAAGCGCACGTCGAGCAGCGTCCCGTCGTGGTGAGGCCCCGTCGTCCCCGTTGTCGTCGTCGTCGTCGTCCTCGTGATCCAGATGCCCATGGCCTTCAGCTCCGCCGCGGACGGGACATTCTCCGTCATGTGGCCGTCGTTGTCATTATTGCCGCCGGGGCCGGGCTCATAGTCAAACATGCACAGGCACCGCAGCAGCCTCATCAGCCGGATCGGCACGGTGGAGACAAAGCCCCGCAGGTCTCTCTCCGGTGGTCGTCGTCGTCGGCGCTCCTGCGTGGCATTGAGCTGGGCACAGTGTGCTAGGTGGAGAAGGTGCAACAGGTGCTCGACCGGCGCCTCGGCGTCAACGCCCAGCTCGTCCGTGGGCCTCTTCCCCGGGGGCAAGGACCCTTTGAACATGTACCAGAGCGCCATGTCCAGCAGCCTGCGCCTAGTGTCCCACGGGGAAGAGGCCATGTCCGTGGGCCTCTTCCCCGTGGGCTTCTTCTTCTTGTCAGCGCTGCGCGGCAGCAGGTCCCGTGGCGCCAGGTGGTTGAACAGCTCGAACAGCACAGCGAAGGGGATCTGGTTCTCGAGCAAGGTGAGGTCGCTGCGCAGCTGCGCTGGTGCCCACCTCGACTGGTGCAGCTCCTCTTCGTTGGTGCCTCGCACATAGTTGCACAGGTGCTTGAGGATGAAGCACCCGTCCAGGAACATCATCTTTACCCACGCTTCTGTTGTCATTTCCGCGGCCTCTGGTGGGCCAAGATCAGCATAAAACCTAAGCAAGGATATGACGCGCGCACATAATTAATATAAAGGCTCATTTGGATCCCTTCATTTTGCAAGAATTGAAATCTCTATATATATAACAAATTAGGCTATTTGGCTTTGAGTTTAACATTCCACCACTTTCCAAACTTGACTTTTAAGATTATATATCTCAAATTCATAGGGTGAGAGATTGAAAATAGATTCTATAGATCATCATGCTATGTTTGCACTCTCTAACTCTATTTCTTTTCATTCCAAGTATATAACTAGCTCAAATATGTGTCTAAACTACAAATAAATTCAATTCTTTCAATTCCAAGGATGCAAACAGATCCTAAGATATTTCGTGTGGGGTTACTGGACTTATTTGGATCCCGATCCCATCCAATGCGCACAAAAGTTAATTCTCAAGACTACATAGTAAAACCATATATTGTTAGGGAATGTAACTACTAAAGGCACGTTTTAATCTTTTTATTTTGGAGGAATTTAAGCTATTTGGTTTGTGACCTGACATTTCAGTATTCGACAAATATATAAATTCAAAGTTTGACCACTCGTCTTTTAAAAAAATTATGCAAATATAGTCAAATTTAAGTTATTCTCGAAGAATATATATTAAGAAAGTAAGTCACAACAAAAGATGTAATATTTTTGCATAATTTTTTGAATAACACGAGCGGTCAAACTTATGGTCAAAAAAAAAAAGTTAAACGTCTTATAATTTAGAATGGGTCTAGTAGTACATTACTTACTCGCGAATGTCACAGATCATTTCTGTGAGCCTCTGCTCGCAGATTTGCCGGAGCTCGTCATGGGGCTCGGCGGCAGCGGCGTCCTTCAGGAGTTCAGCGGCGTACCGCCCCTTAAGCTCCTCGTGGCGGAGGCCGACATGATAGTAGTAGTGGTACGGCCCGAAGCACATGAACTTGGGCGCGTACGCCTCCTTGTGGGCCTCGCGCACCCACTGGGGAACTCGCCGGAGCCGGTAGCGGCCCTTCGCCGTCATGGTGATGGTCTTGGCAGGCGGCCCGGTGTTGCCTATGTGCAGCCTCACCTCATGGCTGTTAGCGGCGCTCATGGCCGGCTGCGGCTGGTCCTCCTCCGCTATGGCTGCTGGTTCCATCGATCGGTGAGGATGCATGTATGCATGGCGTGGACGACCGTCGCGTCATGGAGCCGGCCGGCTCATTTTATAGAGACACTACCGATCGGTCGAGCTGAGTGGCTTACTGGCTGGGGTTGGCCGGCTTCCATGAATGGATATGGTGTGGTGTGGATCGCCGTCGTCTACCTCAAGGAAAGAACAGGAGGCGTACATAGGTGAGTTTGGGCCGAGCATAGCGTGTTGCCGGCGGCGATCCCTACGTCGAGAACAAATAAAGCAAGGAGCATTTCTGCTTGGCGTAATGCTGGAGCAATTAGTAGGGAATAAAGGAACAAGATGACAGCTTTAATTTACTTTCTTCTTCATTATGATCGATCGATCTGAGTGCCTTTCTATTTTTGTTTTCTGCTGCTCTGCCGGCCAGTCCAAGCAAACACGAGATTCTTAGCTTGTTGTTAGAACTAAACACCTTTAGGATCCTGTAGCCTGATGACAAACATGATTTTTTTATACCTAGACTATTCTGACTTAACAGAATGACCTCCACCAGCCTTTATTTTTTTTTAAAAAAAAGCCTGTGTCTGGGCTGAGAAGCCGGCACGACGGCACTACACGGCCCAGGTGTGCCCTGCTACCTGCTAGACCCGGCCTGCGAAAATTTCTTTGCAAGCCCATGCAGACACCTGCCCTTACTTAGCAGGTTTAAAGGGGGGACAGCCTGCAAAGACTGTTGGTTGGGCTTTAATCTGCTAAACCTGCAAGACCCTATGTGACCTGGATGCCTGATCGAGAGATGTTTGCAAATACACCACCGACCCACCGTCCCACGCCCACACACACAACCCAGCCAAGCAAGGCAAAGACAAGGCCATTGGGCCCACCATCTGTCGGGACATATGGACCAGACTCGCACGCTCTAAGTTGGCCCATTTCCCAAAGAGTGCGAGCGGAAGAAGAGGTGACCGCGGAGAGAAGAGAGGAGGCAGCGGTGTGTTTGGATTCGAAGAGAGAAAAAAAGGCGAGCGATTGAAAGAAACCCTGAGTGTTGCATATGTATGCCAGTGGTCCGGTTTCTAGCTAGAGGCAGACCTCTTAAGGCGGATTGTCTCATGTTTATTTTTAGAGGCGTTTTTTTAATGGTTCGTCTCTGTTTTTATGGTAACAAGAGGAATTGCCCCTACTGGAATTTCTTGAGCAAAACAAAGAGTTTCGAAGTACAAAATTAAGATAAAAAAGGTACACAAGGGAGTCTAGCCATTGATCAACAGAAGGAAGAAGCCTCATGCATGCCCTTAGAACAACTTAACTAGAGCAAATTCTGACTTGAATTTGTCTTGCAGCGTTCAAGCAATGGCTGCACTCCATTGAATTTAACTTATCAGCCATATATATAGTAGCTCTCGAGGCTGTGTTCCCAGTACATAAAGATAATAAAAACGAATAGACGAGAGGCAGCGACAACATACACAAAAGCTCTCAATCCTAGCAGGAAATTCAAAGTTAATTAGTCGTTATTTGATCCTATGGAAGCACAAGCGAGTGCACCTAACTAAAGTTGTGAATAAAATGGGTGGCTGTAAGCTAGGTGAACCATGCCAAATCTATTGAATAGGAAATTTGAAAATGAGTGAGAATAGAGGAAGAACAGTCATGTCATCTTCATTTTAACTCATTCCTGCAAATCACAATCAACACAGGACATGAAAGTATAGGAGTAAAAAGGCAAAAAGTAGGGAAAATACTCTTTATTCCCTGATAAATATCGATAATAATAATTTTAGTAATACAGAGCTCTCTCTCACACACATAAGTGCGGACAAAGGCCTAAGGGCACTGGGCATTGTGCTAACTGAAACATGGCCAGCCAGTGTGATCGGCACCCCCAAAGCATAAACGGGCATCCATCAATCGGACACCGACACATCGTTGCAGAATCTGATTCCAATCCCTTCCACTAGCTGAGTGGCAGGCAGGGTCGGTCCCAATGGCACTGCTAACAAAGATGCCTGTACATCTTTGCTTATTTTCGAAGCAACGCACCGGAATCAGGCGATTTGCCGACTGCATTAGGCACTCGGCAAAGGCTACTTTGCCCTCGGCAAAGCCTTTGCCAAGTGCAGCACTCGGCAAAGAGCCTCCGATAAAAAACTCGTCGGCAAAGAATTCTTTGCCAAGTGCCTTTTATCGGACACTCGGCAAAGTCTTTGCCGAGTGTCCGACACTCGGCAAAGTTGGAACCGAAAAAATAGGAAAAAAAATGGAAAAAATGAATTTTTTTAATCGATGGAGGCCCCCACCGGCCAGCGCCCACCCATCTCTGGCATTTTTCGCGTAAATTTCGCAGCAACGCGGCCGACGGGATTCGAACCCGCGACCTCCCGCTGAACCTCCTCTACCACTACACCACACTGTCACTTGTGTCTGGATTCCGTTTTAGTTCCCAACATATTATACTAAATCGAGTGTAAATTGCTTGTTTGAGGCCCTAAACGAATTCAAATAAAAAAGTTATAAACTATAAAGTTTCATAACTTTTCGAGATCTACACTTTTAGTTTAGGAAGTTTTTCCATCCGAAGTCGTTTACAAAATTTGAATTTCAAAATTTTAAAATTCAAACGTAATTTTGCATGACAAGATGATTTCTAATCAAAAAGTTGTCAACTACAATGTTTCATAACTTTTCGAGATCTACAGAGTTTATTTTGGTTGTTTTTCCATTCGAGGTCGTTTGAAAAATTCGAATTTTAAATTTTTAAAATTCAAAAACAGTTTTGTATGACAAGATGATTTCAAATTAAAATGTTGTCAATTACAAAGTTTCATAACTTTTCGAGATATACAAAGTTTATTTTGGTTGTTTAGTCATCTGTTCATCCGACATGGTCGTTCTAACATTATTCACAAATCTTATATATCTCTACTGTAGTTTCATAAACTACAAGAGAGATATGTTAGATTTCTGAACAAATTTACTTTCACTTTGTCATATGAAGAAAAGATCAAAACAAACATTGTACATCTTGATGAGTTATATAACTTTGTAGTTGAAACCTTTTTCATTTGAATTAATTTACTGCTTCAAAATATGCTTTGAAATTTTTTTTGCCGAGTGTAAAAAAAACAAAAAACACTCGACAAAAAGCTTCTTTGCCGAGTGTCAAAAAAAAACACTCGGCAAAGAAGCTTCTTTGCCGAGCGTAAAAAAAACACTCGGCAAATGCGTCTTTACCGAGTGCCCGAAAAACAACACTCGGGAAACCACTTGACACTCGGCAAAGAGCCGGTCTCCGGTAGTGAGCCCAAAGCAAAGACACCAAGAGGGGTCTCTGCCTCCCTGCCTCATCCTCATCCTCTCTGTCTCTCCCAGCTGGTATCTAATATCTCTTGTGTTAGCTTTCTACATCGGACTGGGAGATTTATTTGATAGCGGTGAGTTGATGAAATTTTGGTTTCACTAACCACTACTGTAGGGTTTTAGGATCTTCCTTTCGATCTAGTATGCTTCTAGCTAGTTGACTGCTGTCAGATGTTGCAGCATCGAAGAATTTGTTTCACAGGCCAGCTACTCCCACTACGCAGACAACATCTTTAGGGGCAGTTGGCCGGCCTCTGTAGGGACGGGCTCGCCAACCGCCCCTCCCAGAGGCTCTTATAAATGGTCTTTCCTAGAAATCGATTTGTAGGAATGGTCTATAAATCATTTTCTCGAAACCGTAAAAAAATACTAAAAAAATAGCAAAACATTTTTTTTAATCTGGAAAGGGACCCACCGGCCAGCGCCCGCCCGTATCGATCAAAGTCGCAAGTCACGGCATTTTTCGCGGCCAGCGGAATCGAACCTGCGACCTCTCACTCGCGCAGAAATTCCCTTACCACTGCACTACACCATCACATATGTCCGTATGTCCTTTTGGTTCCCTAAATATTATAATAAACCGAGTGAAAATTGCTTGTTTGAGGTCCTAAATGAATTCAAATTTAAAAGTTGTCAACTACAAAGTTTCATAAATTTTCAAGATCTACAAATTTCATATAGAAAGTTTCTCCATCCGAGGTCGTTTACAAAATTTGAATTTCAAATTTGATTCAAATCTGAAAACATCAACCGTAGTTTCACATGACAAGATGACTTCAAATAAAAAAAGTTATCAACTACAAAGTTTCATAACTTTTCGATCTCTACAATTTTCATATAGGAAGTTTCTCTATCCGTGATCGTTTGAAAAAATCGAATTTAAAATTTTTGACATTCAAACGTACTTTCGCATGACAAGATAACTTCAAATTTAAAAGTTGCGAACTACAAAGTTTCATAACGTTTTGAGCTCTACAACTTTTATTTTGGTCATTTCTCCATCCGAGGTTGTTTTAAAAATTTGAATTTTCAATTTTTGACATTTAAACGTAGTTTTGCATGATAAGATTATTTCAAATCAAAAAGTTGCCAACATCAAAGTTTTATAACTTTTTGAGATCTACAACTTTCATTTTGGTCATTTCTCCATCCAAGATCGTTTTAAAAATTCTAATTTTAGTACTTCATTTTAAATATCTGACGCCGATTGTAAGGGCGGCTCAATATCCAGCCATCCTTAGAAATTGATTTGTAGGGACGGCTGGATATTGAGTCGTCTCTACAAACAAATGGGCGTCTATTTGTAGGGGCGGCTTAATATCTAGCCGGTCCTACAAATCGATTTGTAAAGGCGGCTGAATATTGAACTACCCTTACAAATCAATTTCTATTTATAGGAGCGGCTCAATATCCAACCTCCTCTACAGGAAAAAGGGACTGGCTCGTACAAATCGTTTTTCACATAGTGTCCTGCAACTACTCTCAGCAGGCTCGATCCGCCCGAGATAGCTGCCTGCCATGGTCGCCGTCATATCTGACATGATCTCGCGCCGCTGATATCTTGCACCAACATAGTTTTCCAAGAAACGCCGGTGAGCTCAACTCCAACCCAGCTGCGACTTGCTCAGTCTTCCAAATCTCAACCAGCTTTATTTTCCTTTTTTTTGCGAAAAAAAACCAGCTTTATTTTCTAGCCACTCGACCACCATCGTTTTCTACAGGACAATTCAAGAGAGGTCGCGATGTGGGATTCTTGGTGAGCGCATCCACGCGTTTCAGTCCTAAACACAAGCTACTGGAGTGACCTGGTATTTTCAGCTGAAGCTTTGGCAGAGCCATGGCAGCAGCTGCCGTGGTGAGCGTCTCCATGGGTGTGATGAAGCCCGTCCTGTCCAAGCTCGCCACCCTCATGGGCGACGAGTACAAGAAGATCAAGGGGCTGCGGAAGGAGGTGACCTTCCTTCAGCGTGAACTCGGGGACATGGACGCTCTCCTTGAGAATATGGGACAGCGTTGATGAACTCAACCCGCAGGCCAAGAAATGGAGGAGAGATATAATCGAGATGTCCTACAACATAGAAGACCGTATTGATGATTTCATGCACAGTGTTGGTGAAATTGACAACAAGATGGGGATCCTTCGAAAAGCCTCTCGCTATGTCAAAACTTTCAAGGATCGTCGCTGACTAGCAAATGACTTCCAAGAGATCAAGCCCTAGTGATCGAAGCAAGCGACCGTCGAAAGAGGTACATGCTTGATCAGTGCATATCAATTACTACCCCTGTAGTGGTTGATCCTCGCATGTCAGCACTCTACAAGGAATCAGCAAGCCTTGTGGGAATTGATGCCCAAAAGGACAAGCTTGTCAGCTGGGCAATGGATGAAGTCAAACAATTGAAGTTTATGGCAATAGTCGGATTTGGAGGTATAGGGAAGACCACTCTTGCCAATGAGTTGTATCGTGAGCTTGGTAGCAAGTTTGAATGCAAGGCATTTGTATCTGTCTCTCAGACCGCCGCCCACTGTTGTAACACGGCCTCGGCGGGTGGCGAAGGCCTCCGACGGTGAGGTGTCACCAAGGCGTCTTCGACCGTCTTAGGGCGGAGATCTGGCGCTGACTAAAGGAACTTTCCTGGCTATGCTCGTAGGGCGCTGCACGAGGCTCAGCGAGCTTGTCGCGGATTCTGCCCAGGCCAGGCACAGACATCTCCAGCCCCTCAGGCGGACGCCGCCCACTGTTGTAACACGGCCTCGGCGGGTGGCGAAGGCCTCCAACGGCGAGGTGTCACCAAGGCGTCTTCGACCATCTTAGGCGCGAGATCGGGCGACCGACTAAAGGAACTTTCCGACTATGCTCGTGAGGGCGCTGCACGAGGCTCAACGAGCTCGTCGCGATTCCGCCGGGCGAGCACAGACATCTCCCGGCCCCTCGGTGACGCCGCCCATCTTCGTCCCGACGGCGTCTCCGCCCGAGGGCGGAGGCCGTCCCTTCTGGGCCGACGGGCGTCTCCGCAGAGGGCGGAGGCCGCCCCCTACCCGAACTAATCAAACAAACAATCTTGCCTAAGTGTGTGCAGTACCTAAGCGTAGGCGCCGTGTGGTCACATGCGAAGGCTTGGCAAGATGGCCTCACACGGCGGCCGAGCGAGAGACCTCTGGATGATGTCTCCGACCGGACCGGCGGAGACTCAGCGTGGCAGCCGCGCGCGCCAAGACGGAGGCCAGCGTCGGGAACCCAGTGCCTCTGGGCGAAGACCGAGGCACGGTGGGCGGTCGCTTATGGAGGCCCATTGCTTGAAGACGGTGTGGCGGGATTGCCCCAAAACAAGAGACTAGTGGCGAAATATTCCAGAATGTACCGTAGCGCTTGAGGGGCACCGTAATAAATTCATCAAGAAGTAGTTGAGCACTATAAATAGGGAACACTTGTAATAGTGCAGATGGGTGGTGGATGAATTAATGAAACCTTAGCTTTCCGTGCCAGTTTCTTACACGCCCACCTGTCGTGCCTATCTTGAGCCTCCGCCCGAGGGTGACGCTCGGCGGGCGGAGGCTTCTGTCTCCACGCTGTCTCAGACCGCAAGTCTCAACATTGGCGCCCACCGTGGTTAGGCCGAGGCAAACCAACGATGGCAGGGAAAAGAAAAACCACCACCAGAAAGCATGGCGACCACGGGTCAGCCGAGGAAGGCCTAGGCACAACACTCGTAGCACCTCGCGCAACCTCGCCAATGAGAGATGACACCAGAGCGGATGCCTGGGTCAACCACTGGAACCCCAAGATCCGTAGATTCAAGATCCGGAGGTCCAACCAAACTCAGCCACAACACTCGAGCAAGAACTACAACAATTTGCAAGCACAGCTTGCAAAGAGCGCAACAAGAGAGGGATGAAATGGCGGCAACATTCGTAGCTAATCAACAAGCTATTCAAGCGTCGGCAAGCAAGCGAAAATAAAGCAGCGATTGGCAGTCCTACATCATGCCGAGATGCTAAGTATGCAGACATGCAACACCAGCGTTAACCTCCATAATCCCACCTCCGCAACAACACCAACCGCAACCATGCTACAAGGCCCTTCGCCAAAGGATCACCAAATTTACGATGCCATCTCGGTGATGCGAGGCCTATCGATCCCAAGTCCCCACTCTCTGAAGGCATACAACAATCGCCATGGCCAACAAACAGACAAGCCAATCACACTACCAAAGTTCAATGGAAAGACAGACCCCATCGGTTCATTATGAGTTACTGGGCGTGCAGAGCCTCCGCCGGCGGAGAGACGACGCTGTCTTGGCAAAATCATTTGTCATTGCAAATAGAAAACGCGGCAACAGCTTGGTATTCTATGTTCAAACCAAGTACATCTATTCTTGGGAGAACCTCCGGGACAAGATATTGGCAAACTTCAAGGGCTAACAAAGATACCACTCGACTTCCACAGATCTGTTCCAAAGCAAGCAAATGCAGGGAGAGACACTACACGACTACTTTCGGAAATTCGTGCAACTAAAGGCGAAGGCACCAGACGTCCCCAGCATTTAGATCGCCATTGAAGCAATGATCAAAGGCCTCCGAACCGGGCCGTTCATGCAAAGACACCTAGCAAGAAAGAAACCAACTTCCATACAAAGAAGTTGTAGGACGAGTTTGAGAAGTACTGCGAGATCGTACAATGACCTCCGCAAAAGGTTTGGAGGAGCAAGGTCAAAACAGACAACAAAACAAGCAAAGAAAAATTCCCGAAAACCCTATATGAACCGTAATGCATCAAATCGAAAACCGTGCCGAGGGCAAGTGCTCAACATCGAGGGTCAACCTCACCCCGAGCAAGGGCAACAGACAGCGTCAACACGGCCGAAGACCTTGACAAGGAACCAAGGTCGGCAAGGTTACCAAGGCAAAAACTAGAACAAAAACCAAAGCCAGAAACAACGCAGGCCATATTGCGTTTTTCACGGCGAAAACGCAGGCACAGCACCAAAGATTGTCCGGAGACAAAAGAAACACGAAAGAATGAAGAACAAGCAGATCGCCCAAATTTCGACATAGCAGAGCGCAAGAGAGGTCAACACCACCTACACAATCGCCACCAAAGATCTTGCCCAATGTACCCAAAGCTTAAACGCAACCCAAATACATCCCTCCACACCGGCCTCTCTCGCCTATTACCCAAACTTCCTACCAAAGATGACGGTCATCGCCATCGCCTTGGCAAGAGACCTCCGTGGTGGTAACTACAGTCGGAGGCAAGCGACCTACATAAACCCAAAATCTCCCCATATAACCTACCTCGAAACAAACCCATCGGAACAAAACCAAATAAGGTTCGAGCCTCCGCCGCAACAGCACCACATGCATCAACTGCCTCCACCGCCACCTCACAACCAACCACCAGCACCAAAAAATAAGCCAAACCAAGAAAACCAAGTCAACCCCCATGGACCGCTACCAACAATAGGCATGATACTACCAATCGCCGGAGGATCATCAATGGAGTTTCAAACAAAAAAACAGAAAAAGGATCATCTCCGCCTGGTAAACAATGTAGCAGTCCAAGGCCCAGCGAAACACACAGATTAGTCCAGAGTCCCAATCACCTTCATAGAAGAAGATCTCCAACTAGAGAGCTACCCTCATGCAGACGCAATGGTGATCAAGACCAACATAGCAGCATGGGAGATAAGCAGAGTACTGATCGACACTGGCAGTTTAGCATATATCATCTTCGCAAATACCTTCGACCAAATGAAGCTCAGCAGAAATCAACTACAGCCCTCCGAATCCCCTTTAATAGGATTCGAAGGCAAGCAAATACAAGCATTAGGAAAAATCTCACTCCCAGTGTCGTTTGGAACCCAACCAAATGCTAGAACCGAGTACATAACCTTCGACGTCGTCGATCTGTATTACCCATACAATGCCATATTGGGCAGAGGATTCACAACCAAATTCAACGTAGCCCTGCATATGGCCTACCTGTGCATGAAAATACCAGCACTCCATGGTATTATCACAGTCCGAGGCAGCCAGAAAGAAGCAAGAAACATAGAAAAACTATCTACAGAGCCCAAAGAAACATCAATGCAGTCGAGTCGGCAGACAAAAACTAGAGCCTCCGGATATGCCCAGAGGAAAAACAGATATGACAGGTCAAGAAGAGACAAAGCTGATCCCTCTAGAAAAGGAGTTACCAGACAGAAAAGTAACAATCAGCTCACAATTGAGCAAGACAGAGGAGGAAGAGCTCATAGAAACTCTAGTAAAAAACAAGGACATCTTCGCCTGGTCAGCCTCCGACCTCCAGGGAGTCAGCCGGGACATCATACAGCACGAACTGGATATCAATGAAAATATGAGACCAAGAAAGCAGAAACAGAGAAAAATGTCAGAGGATAGAATCCTGGCAGCAAAGGCGGAGGTGCAAAGATTGCTAGATGCAAAAGTGACCGGGGAAGTCAAGTATTTAGAATGGCTTGCAAACGTAGTACTAGTACGAAAGAAGAATGGCAAAATGAGAATGTGCATAGATTTCACATATCTGAATAAATCTTGCAAAAAAGACCCTTTCCCATTGCTAAGAATAGATGCCTCCGTCGACAAGGCAGCCAGATGCAAGAGGTTCTCTCTCCTCGACCATTTCTCTGGGTATCACCAAATCTAGATGAAAAGAGAAGACGAAGACAAGACAAGTTTCACCACTCCATTCGGGACATATTGCTACACCATAATGCCAGAGGGCCTCAAAAATGCCGGAGCAACCTTTGCCAGAATGACAAAGGAAGTTTTGGGCTCACAACTAGATAGAAACATCATAGCCTACGTCGACGACATAGTGGTCATGAGCAAGAACAAGAATGATCATGTCTCCGACTTACAGGAGACCTTCGCCAACCTCAGGACAGCTGGCCTCCGCCTCAACCCAGAAAAATGTATATTTGGAGTCACAAAAGGGAAGATGCTCGGTTATATCATAAGCAACGAAGGCATCAAAGCGAACCCGGACAAAACCAGAG